CCTGCCGGGGCAGGGAGCCGGTGTCCGCAGCGCGGTTCCCAGCCAGCACGGCACAGCCATGGTGCTGCCGGGGGTCCCGGGGGGCAGACACAGAGCGTGGGGACGGGTTTCTTTCAACACTTTTTATTCCGGCCGATTCTATCAGTTCCTTCACTTTTATTCAAGGCACTCGGTGACTGGGTGAGTACAAAATAGACAATAAAAAGGGGGCAGTGAGCAGGGGCAGGCGTGAGGATGCAGGGGGGGTGGCAGTGGCTTCTCGTCCTCCTCCTCCTCACTGCCCCCTATTTCTTGGCTGGTTCCTTGGCTTGGCTGTCAACGGTGACGGGGATGGTGATTTCGGCAGACTGGATGGCCGGCTTGGGCGGGGGGGCCTCCACCGTGAGCATGCCATCAGGGGACAGTGAGGACCGCACAGCCGTGGCTTCAACACCGGCAGGACGGGTGGCGGGGGAGAGGGGGGGTCAGGGCTGCGGCACCCACCGCCCCACCCTGCATCCCAGCAGGCACGAGGCTGTGAGCAGTGACAGATGCTCAGCCCCAAAATGCTGCCTCCCCCCGCTCCCACTTTGGGTGAGCGGCATCCCCAGTTTGGCCAGTGGGCACTGGAGGGGATGGGTGGGTGGGCAGAGGTCCCCAAAGACATTGGGGGGCTTCCAGGATCCCATGTCCCCCCCTCCCTGGTACTTACGTGTATTTTCGGGTGAAGCACCTGGAGATGAAGCCATGTTCATCCTGCTTCTCCTCGTGTTTGCCTGGAAGGAAAAAAAAAAAAAAAACGGGCTGGTTGGAAGGGGGTGGCTGAGTGGGCAGCAAGCTGGGAAGGTCGCTGTGCCTGGGGTGCTCCCTTCCCTGCCCCAGCCTGTCCGGTCCCGGCATCGCCCAGTGCCAGGGAGGGGCCGATCCTGCCTGTCCCGGCTTTCTTTGCCTTAATGTCAGCCTGGAGCAACTGGGGGGGACCAGGGGCAGCGGGGCCCCTGTGGGAGCATCCCCCAAATTCAAGGGGAGCAAAGCGCACTGCCAGGAGCTGGTGGTGGCCAAGGGCACCCAGCCGCTGCCAGTTGGCCCCACAGCCTTTGTTTTGGCTCCCCAGCCCGGTGGGGCTGGAGACTGAGCACCCACCTCTCCCTGGGTCTGCACCCCTCAATCCCACTGGCTGGGGAATTGCCCCCCTACCCCATGTGGACCTCCCTCGCCAGGCACGAAGCACGCTGCTGGCCATGGGCCATGGGGTCTGGGCTTCGTCACAGTGTCCCTGGCTGCGCTGCCCAGGGCGCTGCAGGGAGGCACGGGGGGCTGCAGGGCTTGTGACACCCCACCGTCACCCCCAGGTCCCTCTGTGGCTCACAGCTGGGGGGGGTCCCTCCCCATGTCCTGGCTGGGACAGCAGTGAGGGGTCAATCTATGGGTCTGGGGGGGGGTGTCTCTGCACCCTATGCAACACCTGCAGGGTGAACGCACCCCGAGACTGAGCTTGTAATGCTGGGCCTTCCTCTTTGCCTTGATTTTCCCCTTTCCCCTTCCCTTTTTCCTCTCCTCTCCATCTCCTTTTGCTTTTCCTTCCCATCACTTATTCCTCTCTGCTTTGCCTTTCCACCCATTTTTCCCCCAGCGAGCGCCAGGGGGGCTGCCCCAGCACAGCACCCAGGGAGGAACCCACAGACCCCCCCATCCCCGGCACCCACCGGTTATCTCCACGATATTATCCTTGGTCTTGACCACCAGCTCCTCGGGCGCGAAGTGGTTGACATCCAAGGTGACCTTCCAGCTGTCGGCAGTCTGGCGGATCTCGGAGATGCCGCTGCTGAGCTGGCGGCTCAGCGCCTGCCCGTAGGGCGAGCCGGGGGCCGGCACCAGCGCGCTCTCCCGGGGAAGCAGACGGA